AGCCATAAATTCAATAGTATGTGGAGAAAAAAATCGAAGAATTTAAATGCAATATTATATAAAGTATAAGATAAAATAAATATGTCTGTCTCAGTAGGCGGATATAGACTGAATTAGTGGGATAAGATGTAAAAATAAGCCACTTCAGTTGGCAAGAATTGTTTAAAAATGAAAATATCACCTTCCATCTATGCCCACAATTGTTGCAATAAACAAAAGTTGTCATGGGCTCATCGGCGCTCCGAGTTTGAACCTGTTGGCGAAGAATAAAAAGTATGCGATATTAGTTAAAAGAATTCCATTCTAAAAAATTTAACATCATGCATTAAAGCGAAAGTATGGAGAGCACAATAGAGGTCTTCAGTATGGTCGCGATCTCCTTTCATTGCATATACGTAGTTTAGCCTCATTTTAGCAACTTCTTAGTATTGTCGGGGCGACCTAGAAGAATGAACCATGTCCAGAGACCAAAGATAGTTGGCTCACAGTACATGTGTGTAGGATCAATATATTTGTCTGTAAAATAAAGATTTAACCGCGAAATTTACCTGTTGCACATTCCGAAAAGTGATAAGGGGATCTGCAGCGTAAAGTTAGTTTTTCATTTAGCCTGAGAGTCCAGACTTTGGCGCTTAGCTTAGTAAGGCTGGGGTAAACATGCTAGCAAAGACATAGCGCCTCGAGTAGCACGAATACGGTGGAAGTGATTGTGTGAAATCACTGAACCAGGAAGATGAGCAACGAATAAAGACTCTGATAGGACTCAGACTAAGAGGATTGCGGACCAAAAGGGCAAACTCGGAGCAATATTCCCACTACTGGGGCGAACCAGTAGAGCGTGTGAATAGGCCTAACGAAATCCACTCAAAAGGGCACAGCCGAACTAGGTTTAAAAAAGCAAGTAAGAAATTGGGATAGTGGAGGGGGTAATACGAGGATGGGGGAAAGTTGAATTCACTTTGAAAGGAGCACCACAACTGCTCATCAGACAGTTAATTAAAGGATCGACTTTACGTATCTCTTTAAAAAGCTGTAGTATGGTGTTACGAATTGTAAAGCTAACTACGATGCCGTCGACGTACCAGGTCGACGGTATGACGCTAGAGATTATCGTGGATGCTAAGGAGCCCGGACAAGCTAATAATACGACTTAGTTGTGCAAACGAGATCAAACCACATATATAAAGCATTAAAAATTACTCACGAAAATGTATAGATGATGAAGCACACTGAAATTTGACAAGTTATAGAACAGTAAGTAAGAATATGATGGTGGCAATAAAAGACTATGCAGTCCTCCATTGAGTTAAATAGGATAACCTTTATTTCATGCCTGTAGAGATCACTATCGCTTATCATTCCTTCAATACTTCTCGGGTCTTAGCTTCTGGTTGGAGGTTTTTAGTTAGCTTATTCCTCACACATCATTACTGAATAACCTCTGAACATTAATAATCCATAGTGTTAGTTTTACCTCGTTTTCGCAACTTGGTCGTAACGCCAAAGTCCTTGTGGAACGTACCCAGTCCTGCGTCATCTGCCATAGTATTCGAGGTTTCCACCGTCGGACCAATGACTTGGTACATTCCCAAATGTATCGCCAGCATTGTCAGTGAGGGAAGCCAACGCTAGCACAGACTTACAACTTATCAAAGTGATAAATGAAGGCAATCCCTTTGACCAATTCTCTATTCAATCGTAGTGGCATTATTCTTTGCGTCTATTTTTTGTCCTAGCTTCTAGTGTTGCATCTTTTGCTCTCAGCGCCAATTCGCATCGCTCTTCATCTATTCACCCCATTCTGTTCTCGCGTTTCCTCCAATGTCGTCTAAGACTGTTGCGACAGGTGGATTTCGTGAAGCCACCACCGGTCCCAAATGCCGTTTTCAGAGCTTTTGATTATCATCCAGAATGGTCATCACCTGCTCTAGCTAATCGAATATGACATAAACGGGGAACAGAATTAAAGACTCATAGGCAGCCAGATTGCAGACAGTCAAGCGGCGATTTTCATGTGTAGCCTGCTATACATTGGCCAATTGACAGGCGGGTGGGAGGGGGAAGGCTAGATAGAAGTCATAAGCCCTACAAATGGCATTTAAAACCAGTGGCAAAGATTATTACGCTACATTAAATCCACTTGTAGCGACACATATTTTGGTGACATTGGGGAAAACGAAAACACAGAATGGTCTAAATATATAGAGGGACAATATGAAATCGGGTTGAGAGAAAAAGACACAGCATTAGAAGCTATGATAAAGAAGAGGAAAATAATGACGCAACTACGATTGAACCGGGAATCGGTCAAATGGATTGTCTTCATTTATTACTTTGATAGATGCAACTCAGTGCTAACGTTGACACCACTCACTGAGACTGCTGATGAGACATTTGGAAATGAACAAAAGTCAGTAGACCGATGCTCGAAACCACGAATACTATGGCAGAGCACGCAGGACTAGGTACGTTCCACAAGGTCTCTGGCGCTCCGACCAAGTTGGAAAAACGAGGTAAAGCTAACATTATGGATTATTAATATTTAGAGATTATGCAGTAATAATCTGTAAGGAATAAACTTGTTAAAACTCTCTAGCTAGGAGCTAAGAGGCGAAAGATATTGTTCTCTGCAAACATAAAATAAAAAATATCCCAGTAAACTCACTGGAGGACTGCATAAATAGCCAGATAGATTTTAACGAATTTTTTCAGTTCCAGAAAAGTGATGTGCAAAATTCGATAGCGCCAAAAACGCCATAATATTCATTGCAATCTACCACTTTAGATATATAAGGAAAAATATTGTTTGGATAAAGATGGATTTTTAGAGTCACTTGCCTGACTATAGGTGCATTTATTTTGTTTGCATTTGCCGCATTTGAGAAGATCTGTCTCAGTTCCACCCGTCATTGCCATCTGGTGGTCCTCAATAGTCTCCTTGTTGTACTTTTCCCGAAGATCCTTCATCTCCTTACTCGCCATCTCCTAGAATGAAAGAAATGGAAAAAAAAGCCGAGTTGTGTGGTACATGTGAAATTAATGGTGATTAAAAGTATGGAAAGAAGTAGCAACCCAAATGCACGTATTCAAGGGTATTGCAGATAGTTTTTATGCAAAATAATATATAATGTGCTTTACTACAACATATCAGAGACAAGTTTCCTTGTCGCTGACGCGTTGTTGTGGTGCTAAGAATGGCGAGACTCACTGACGATGTCGGCGAAACGTCTGGGAATGTACCACGTCCACGGTCTAACTCTGGAAATGATCATGCATAAATGGACTGCGGACTAGGTGCGTTTCTATAAGTCTTACTACCAATATGACAAAGTTGTGAAAATAAGGTCAAACAACTTCTATACAACGAAAGGAGACTGCGATCACACAAAAGCCCACACTGTCTTGGTCTTCATACCTTCAAAGACCATATAGTTGGCAAAGCATCGATAGGATTACTTTGCAAATCAACACAGCGTATCCATGTTGAGCTTCTTCGCAGCAGCTGTCATGGCGTCATCTCCAAATGACTAGACAAGCCCAAAACGTCATCTCAATTGCTATCTCCTCCCAATAGACCCTCTACATCACTTCAACACAAAGTGTATCCAAATTACAGACACACAAGTATGTAAAACTGATTCCTACACAACCTCTAGTCACTAGTGTGATTATTATGAAATAAGAAGGGCTCGATAATCAGTAAGGAAAAACACGAGTGTCGAGGTATGAGGATGTATTATGAAGGAACTAGAATATAAAAGTTAATGAAGAGATACTACCTATAAATGGTAAGCACCCAAATATGTTATGAATGCATTATGTGGACTCGTAAAAAGCAATATATCCGAGGTAGTGACCTCTAGTGCTAAGCCACCTGAGTATTCCATCAGTAAGATGGATAGAAATTTGGAAGAAGCCAAATGATTAGATACTAATTTTAAACTGTCAATGATGTTTTGACTAAAGATAAAAAATTCAAGACCAAGTAAAAGAATATAAAACTGGGCCTATGGACATCAATTCCTTAAAACAAATAGTAAAAGGACATAGTAATCGGATAGTCAAACACATTTTATTCAAATTAAGCAGGTTTCGAAAAGGCCACTACCATACAAAAACTTATGGCACATAAGGAAAAGAAAAT